GCTCAATACGTAGAATAATTAAAGCCAGAGGCGCATCAATATAATCGCAGATAAGCGAGAACGTTTTGCACGTTGAAGCTAATCGATCACGATGACGACAGCGGAGTGGAAGAATACGAGGGCCAGTCAATCTCAAGCATAAACAAGGGAAAGTCTATTTTCAAACGTTTTATCAGTGTATCAGCCCAATTGACCAATAAAAACAAGCTGCAGAAGAATCAGCGGACATTGTTTACCCATGACCCCTTTTTTGACGGTTGGCTTAAAATCTCAGATATGGCCAAACTTGACGGGAAATTTGAACCCTGAGCAGGAAAGCAGCAGCGCCCAAAAAACCAGACCAACAGATTTGCTCCAAATTTGCAACTAGAGGACTAGGACTCGCTCGGAGGAGTATATCACAACCATCTGCATAAAAAGGTGGCATCTGGATTCTGGGCGCAAGTGTAGTTGGGGGTGTGGGGAAGGTAAGCAAACCAGCCCTTTTGGCGTTTCTGCTGGGGCCGTATGCTGAATGTTGGGGAGGGGATGGGGTCCCCGAGGTCGACGGACTACTTGAACTCGGTCGGTACGGTAGGAGAGTGATGAAGTGGTGCAGCTAGGTCCAGCAGCTCCGCCAAAAGGGCTGGTTTGCTTACCCCAGGACTAAGCCTTGGAGAGAGGCGAGAGAGCGCAGGTCCGTCCTCTCTTTAAGGCTTAGTCCTGAGGTAAGCATCAAATTGAGGCGGTTTTAAGGACCGAGTTGAAGTGGTCCGTCGACCGTCGGGGACCCATCCCCTCCCAACATTCAGCATACGGCCCCAGCAGAAACGCCAAAAGGGCTGGTTTGCTTACTTCGTGGGGCAGTCGCCGCCGCCGCGCGTGGCATGTTTGCGTACTTCAGTGCAGAGAGGACAAGAACCGGGGGAGTGTAGCCAGTCTAGGGGGTGGAGCTGAGGCGATTCAGTTGACATGCGTGAAAAGCTGGAATTTTCGACAATACACTATTCCTCTAAGAAGGGGCGAACATGCCATGCACGGCGGCGGCGATCCCCCCACCCCAGCCAACCATTGACCTCCAAGTTCCTCGCCACAAGCTTATCCATACAAAATAATTTAAAAAAAAAAATCAGATCTTCTCGAAGCGGCCTTCTAACACAGTCTTGGAAAAGGAAAGGAAAGTCGTTCGTCGTGGCGAAGATCCACATTTGCCATTCTTTCCCGATATGCCCAGCCAGCCATTTACTGCTACCCTAAGCGATTGTCTAGCGTAGGCCTAATAGCTCACGCAGGACCACATTTCATCCATCTGAAAAATCATTCTGTCATGGCTTGAGCCTAGTTCAGGTTAAGCATCAAATTGAGATCGTTTAAAGCCGCTGTTGTCAGGCTCATTGGGTTCCGAAATGCTACTGATAGACTAATCATACTGTTGAACTAGAACTTAAGATCCAATAGTGGTTATTATGTTCGGGAACTAAGTATTTTTAATCTCCATTTTTGGCATGCCGTATTCTGTAAATAGCAGGGTGGCTTCAACGGTAGTGGCGTCGCCCAACCATTATTTCCCCGGCACGTGCGGAACTCTGCAAGTATGTCGTCAGACTCAGGCCCTGCAACGCGATGGACCAACCGAGGCGACGCGATCGCTCCGTCGCTGTCCAGTGCGCGTTCTACGTCGAGTGCGACGACATCTCATAGGATTTCCCTCATTGACTGGATTTTAATCTGGTTGGGCACAGCCGATCTAGAGATTCTGAGTTTGCCATGGGGAATAACCCTTTCATGACGAGAAGCATCCAAGACTCGATCAATTTAGATATATCAGATGGGAACTTACACTCGCTATCTTCACCAGAAAATGGCACCCAGGAGGGTATTCGTTGGTTCATCGCTGTAAAAAACAACTGAAACAAATGTTGCAGCTTTGCGCAAGTAGTTTCACGTAATATTAAGAATAGAATGTTTCGGGTAAGTCTTCCCTTTGACAGTTTTGTTACCTGAAGTAGGGCTCATTATCGCTGCGATTTCTCCATAACTCAATAAAAGTAGCAGCTGAGTAGGCTGGTAGCCGTTTGGATGGATAACTTTGTCTTGGATACCCATTATGACAAAGAAGGCATAAATCGTGGTGTCATGCTGAAATTATCAGTTGAGAATTCGTAAGTAACTCGGAGGAAATTTTTCAAGCTCTGATTTATTGCACTTAATGACGTGTACGTTTCAGCAACAACCAAGGGCCGTATGCTGAATGTTGGGTAGGGGCTGGGGTCCCCGACCCGCGATGCTGAATGTTGGGGCTCCCAACAGAGTTTCGTCGCGGGACCAGGCGGCCACTGACCGGTCCTTTGATTTTACGATTACCTTTTCACACCTTTTCCCTGTTTTATATTGTAAATTTGTCCATGTATATACAGCTATATTGTTGTAATTGCGTTAGTACATCCCTTTGATTCATTTATATGCTGGATCGTTCGTGTACGTCTAGCTATATTGCCATAATCTTGCCAGTCTGTCAATTCACTACTTTAGACTAAAGTTTGGTTCGCGTCTTCTATTACTTCGTGTCACATTGGTGATGTACTTCATACGATGCAAGTGTGCGTGACGGAAGTCTGTAACCTAGAACAAGAGAAAATTCAAAACTCATCCAACAGAATTAAAGCTGCCTGCACCTGTGCAGGTCCCTCGCAGCGAACTCTGCTTGGGGAGCCCTCAACATTCAGCATCCGATGGTCGGCCGACCCCAGCCCCATACCCAATCATTCAGCAATACCGCCCAAGCAAACTGTTTCCTTATCATTGCCTAATCAAGATATCTGCGGGATCTCGGCGCTTAAACTGACCAGTGTAACGGACAGTTTTTGGCAAAAGAGTACGCATTTACTTACTTTGGAGAGGAAAATCGAATCCGACGTTTTTTGCCAAATCCTTCTCGGTCGGGTGGGATTCTTGATTTTGCTTAGCTTGAGGACATTAAAGACCACTAGCAGTCAGCGCGCATACCTTTTGTGTGGTGCAATGCAGCCCATGGTCTCATGCAAAAATGCAAAAAGGCGAGGTCACAATTCTGCCGAACATCGATAAACCATGGTCTCATGTGTCTGATGGTGTCAGCTGATTTTGAGACTGGCTGTAGTTAGGGTTGGACATATATTGGGTTGTGCATATACCGTAGCGCTCGCATTTGGCAAAAACGTTCAAAGCAAAACCCAAAAGCAAAGCTAAGCATAAAACTGATCAATGATGTTCTTCTCACATTCATTATTTACGACTTTCGTTCCATTTCGCAAGAAATTACCAGGTTTAGAAATCAAAAAAGGGTACTGAGCCCGTTTCTAGAATCCTCATTATTTTCAATATGTACGACGTGAATTTGATTTGAAATTAAGGGACGACCTGGAGTAATTCGATGATGACGATGGATTCCGAAAAACTCCTATTTTGGCAGCTTTCTTCTCTATATGGATTTTCGCCCACCTTGATTCTCCAACTTCTAAGCGCCATATCCTCGAGTAAGCGTACCAGTTATATATAGAAATGCCAACATAGTTTGGAGGGCAAGAAAAGAGCCCTTCAAATGGTATGTGTTTCTGGTTATACTTGTTATTCACTAGATTCGTACCAAAAGACAAACGCTACGGTATATGACACCAACCAATAGATTACAAGGAACCCACCCACCCTCACGTGAAAGCAATACCTCAGATAGTCAAAAAACTCAATTATATTAGATGACATATAATTTTCAGACTCAAAACTGACGCGTTTTAAGCAAAAAGGAAAGCGAGTCATACGCAAAGTGTGGTTCACTACACATTAGTATACAAGAAGAAGCCAGAGAACCGAATGGTCAAATAGAGTTCCGGTTTCGCAGCAAACAGGTTGGTTACAATTCCTCTGTGCTCTGCCTCCCGCCTTGGATTTGCTCACCATGTTCTATCATTCGGTACTTTAAAAGGGGTATTTATGAAGCGCAACGGATCCTCCATAATGCTCCACTTGGATGCGTTAATCAATCGAAGCAAATGGCTTTGTTCCCGTTTCTGGTAGCTTCGGGTGAAACATCTCCGAAATCCCATTCCTGTTGCTGATCCAACGGGCAAGCAATGGGGTTTCTATTTTCGATTTTTGTTTCAACTGCATTTTCCCGCAGCGCTCTTCTCGGGTACCCCCAGGAGGCCCGTCGCGCGGCAAGAAGGCAAAGTCAGCGGACGAGTCGCGCGCGTACTATAGGGATTTCGCGTCAAGTTAAATAGAGTGTCCCATTGCACGTCCTACATCGCACATCACGCGCTGCAACTCGTCCGCCGACTCTGCCTTCTTGCCGCGCGACGGGCCTCCTGGGGGTACCCTTCTTCTGCACATCCAACCAAGCTCGCAGTTATAAGTCATCCTCAGTAGAGGTGCAGTTAATAGCTTAACCTCAATCACATTGACCCAACCCTCTGGATCGAACTAATACTTGATATGTTCTTACCGCTGAGTAGGCATAATACTTCAAGCCGTTTATCCATTTGCAGTCATGACTGTTGCTATTCATACAACGCAGTTTGGAAACCATCCTCATATAGAGTTCATTAAACATTGATCCGCCACGAATTTTCTGTATTTCGCTTCCGACGTCAAGATTATTTATCATTAGAGTTTCATCTGAAAAGGAACTATGTTTTCCAGCAGTATTAGAACCACTGTGTTGAAGGAACTGTGCTTGACATATCTTGTAGATAGGGGTTTTATTAAACTAATGATTTACTTTATTATTTTTGTAGTTGCGAATATGTAGTGATGTTGTTGGTGATAGAATAATAACGTATCCTGATGATTTTGCTCAAGAAAGGCTGAATCCAAGAACCGGAGTCAATTTCAGATAATATTTTATTTTATTAACGCGTTGAGAGGAGGGTCTATATAAAATTTTATTCTTATATAAATTTTCAGGGCGGAAGTGGTGTAGTGGACAAGTGGCGCGCTTACCACGCGAGCGGTCCGGGGATCAAATCCTGGGTCGTGAGTCGCCCGGGCCAACCAAGCCTTCCATCCCTCCGGGGTCGGTTAATTGGTACCAGACTTGTCTGGGAGGATAAAAACACTGACTTGTACATCGGCTGGCCCCCGTAAGCAAACCAGCCCTTTTGGCACTTCGGCTGGCCCCCCCCCAAGTCATTGTATCGGCCACATCGCATCAAACGTCACTACGAATGTACAAATAGAAGTGGAATGCGAAAAATGAAAATGCCTTATCCTATTATGCTTTTATAGGTTTCTTGGAAAAACTCAGAAACAGATAGTATATCAAGGGATCGTAGGTTTATTGAGCTCACTCAGGGCGGATATAGGACCCGCGTCTCTGTGAATCAACTAGCCAGGCTTCAGTTGACGAGTGCGAGTCAGGGTTGTTTTTTTTTTACAAATCACGGCAAAGCATAATTCCGGCATCCGCTGTGAACAATTGACCGGTTCATATCTGCCTCTAAGCTCCAGTCTTGGCAGAATCTGGGGAATTATGGATTAGGAATTTCTTCAAGCTAAACACTTGCTTACCAAATGGGCTTAGACTGCAGGTGGCCAGAGACAAAACGAAGCTGCTCAATGGCCTATGAACCCAACTACAGTAATGCTAGTACTTGCATGTCATCGAATGTACTTGGGCCCAGTTAAAAGAACCACCGTGACATCATAGCAATCTCGGCTACGGTAGAAAGGAGATAAGAAGCACAGTGAATTTGTGACTTCAAAGAAGGGTCAAAGAATAGGAGTAAGGATGGTGAGTATACATCTTCGCTTCTGCGCCCTCACAAGGAACAGCTTCTCAAAGGTATTGTACTGGAGACGAGTGCTAGGCTTTTGTGGGCATATTCGATAGCTGTTCCGTGAGAATCATTGAAGAGACGACCAAAAGGTGTCTTCTGCGAGAAAAAGATCTTGCTTGCTGGCATTTGAAAGAGAGCTCTCTTTCAAAGCACTTCTTGCCGCATTCACCGCTTGAGTGTATTCGTGGTACTTGGTGTTTCCATCTACAAAAGTTGGCCGACCCCATTGCACCGATGCGCCGGAACGCGACGCTTTTGCCTTTTCACGATGATGCCTGCCGCAGCATGGAAATTTCGGCGGATAGTTATCATGTTCGAGTGGGAAGTGCGACCCTAGTTATCGATGCATATGAACATAATCTTTGCAGGGAAAATTTCATGAGGGATTCGAAGCTCGAAACTGAGATCTGCAACCTCTTCGACCCGCGGAAGTTTCGGGTGTTACGAATAAAAAATCTGCTTTATCAATGCAAACATTCAATAAATCATGATGGGAACCGTACCACAGATCGGGGTTTTCTTGTAAGAGAAGCGTGAGCTCGTTAAGTCGAGACCTAAGTCGTTCACTACTTTCTCCTCAAATACTTATTCGAGATAAGTCGCTCATTGAGGATCCCAAATGGAATCCTTAGGGACAAAGGAGAAATCGCCGACCCATAGGATAAGTGACGTCACCCTCGTGAAAATAAAGCAGGCTCATCACATCCTCCTGCAGGGGATTTCCTTAATAGCAGGGATTACGACAGGGAGGGAACGCATCGGGGAAAGCATATGCACCACACGAAGCAGTTACTTGGCTGCCAAGGAAGCGAGGTGTGGCGCTTTCACGACGAAAGGTGCGCTGGTTGCTGAGCAGACTTCGAAAGCACTCCGCCCCAAAAGCGATCCGCCCACTAGTTTACTTGGTGATTTGGACGAGCCGTTGCGAGCAGCGGCACAACTGAAGCAACTCGACTGGAGCATGGTTGGCATGCTGTCACCAAACGCGTTACGATGACTCGTTCATAAGCCCAACTTGCTGGGCGTATACCTGGTGGGCCAAAAAAGGAGGTCCGATTAATTGCGTGTTTGTGCGGATTTTCTCCACTTTTTTCACCACGTGGCATACCGCAATGTCGGCACTACCGCGTCTGCTATAAACCCTGCTTGAATCTATCAGTGAGCGCGGCCTTTAGATCTCTTGATTTGACATCCACCTCAAAGAAACTTACTGAATACGCCGTTTTCATAAGCATCGATTTGATTATGCACAACAGTCATTCTATTGAAAAGATCATCGCTGAACCACTTGTTCACTTCTCTCAAAGCTTTGTTCTCATGAATTGATGCTGAAAGAAAAAAATCCGGGAGCATAATCCAGAAAATAAACATATCCATTACTGATTGTCGGCTCATAAACTTGCAAAATAGTTAAGAAGGCGCCCCCTCACTTTAGCAACCTCTCTGTTCATATTTGGGAATGCCCCAGTTTCACTTCGTCATCTTCGATATCCTTGCTAGTGAATGCCTATACTCAAAGTTGTATTCACATAGGACAAAAGGTCTTCGAACCAGGGTCAACCCTATCGTTGTTACTTTTTGAAAAATTTTTACGACCCCCCTCCCCCAAGGTGGATTTGATACGACCCCCTTTTCCACACCTCGACCACCATCATCTCTCTATAGTATTTAATTCTGGTACCACTCAACCCACCAAACTCCACCCACGGGGGGTTACCTCTTTCACCTCACTCACATGTGATTTCGAGCGACTAAAGTGGGTACGACCCCCCCTCCTACAAACTCAACCAGGTACGACCCCCCGTTGTTACTCGTAACAACGTAGGGTTGACCCTGCTTCGAACAGCTACCTACTGGTCTTATGAGTCTTTACATAGCATCTAAGTCTCTTTGGATCTGAATGACAGCCAAAAAGGATTTTGAACGCGTACTGCGCTTTTGAGTAACTGCATGAAACACAGGTTTGAGATGGAATACTACCAGCAACCAAGAGGGCAGCAATCGTGGTCACAACAAATGTAGCGGGATGGTAACTACCGATCGGCGTAATCTCTGTAATTTAGAATATGAGGAGAGAAACCAGCGTAAAAAGCTTCGGGAAGATTTTTCAAATTTTTCCATGCATGCGTTATTCACTAGAGGTTGATCCGTCAAACTCTGTGTAAAGGAAGAATTAGAATAGCTTTGCTGGGAGCTACTAACAAGGGAGGTCTTTCAGGACATGGAGCGCTTTTTCAAAATGATTTCCTGCACTTTGTAGAGACTCATGCGAGGAACACAAAACCATGGTCCATTTTTCCTGAACGCTTCTAGGAAGGTCAGAATAGTGGAGAAGAGATGGTCCAAAGTTCGATCCTCCGTGATGTCTAATTTTTGCAATTTATGTTGGCGCCTCCAAATTGTGTCCAAATGCGTCGATTAACATGTCATCCTCGTAATTTGGCGACAATTTGGAGGCTCCAACATGGATTGCAAAAATTTGTCACCACGGCGGATTGAACTTTGGACCATTTCTTCACCACTGTTTTGAGGTTGAGGTTCCCAGAAGTGTTCAGGAAAAATGGACCATAGTTTTATGTCCCTCGCATGAGCCTTTACAACAAGCAAGGAAACATTTTGGAAAAGCGCTCCATGACCTGAAAGTCCCTCCTTGTAAATTTGCATATGGAGGATCTCCCAACCACGACTGTGGCGACTTCGTATAATGGGGCGTTATTCCACAAGACACCTCAACAGGGGAAGCCTTTTACGAATGCGGACGCGTCATGAGCCATAGATCGGTTCACGATTGTTGATCACCGTGTTAGTGATAGCACTTTTTCCAAGAGAGACCGCGAACGCACTCGTAACGACATCTAACAATCTTATGGATTTCTGTTCTTATTGAAGCAAGGCTCACCTCGATCATCAGAGCGTCACGTACTGTCCAAAAGTTGTCGATACCGATAGGTTCACCACAAAGTTCGCTCAGATTTGCAAACAAGGCAGCCGACCTGAAAATAGCTTTTGAAAGCTTACTGGATTGCTCAATATAAGGTCAACCATCCGTTAAGCCCATTAAAATTTTTACCAGAATTACCCTCTATAGAAGGTGTCGATCCATTACTACTACCCCTGCACAAAGGTCTCCTTATAAACTAGAAGTACTGTCGGTTCTATGCAACAACATCACAGTAGGCAAAGTATTTCATATGAACTTGCTTCCCTCTCCCCCACCTACATCCCCCCAGGGTCAACCCTACGTTGCTACGAGTAACAATGGGGGGTCGTAAATGGATTTGAGTTTTGTAAGGGGGTCGATACCCACTTGAGTCGCTCGCGAGTGGCGGAGCGCGCAGAGATAAAATAAACTTTGCCATTTTAGCGGGTACGGTATAACCTCCCTATGAAAAAATTTCGGGAGATATTTAACCGCTTCAGACGGGACTTACATATTACCCCCCCCCCCCCAGGTGGAATAACGGTCGAGGAAATCCTCGACCATAGCTCTCTACCATGCGAGAGTAGTGCCGAGAGTGAACATCCGCGCGGAGAGCACAGACGGCACGGCATGGCGAGTGTGAATGTCCGCGCGAGAGATCGTCTCTGATCGGGCAGAGAATCCTTCGACGTTGCCGTGTATCGGAGTCTGAGCGATATTCACCCCTGTCCCCTCCCCGTATCAGGCCAGGCATTTTTGGAGGAAAAAGTGGGCGGGGTTTTGATGAAAGATGGAGATGGTGGAGGTAGGGAAAAGGGGGGTCGTATCAAATCCACGTTGGGGGAGGGGGGTCGTAAAATTTCTTCGAAAAGTAACAACGATAGGACCGACCCTGATCCCCCTCCCCCGCCCATCAGCTGCCAGGCAGCTACTTAGAGAGGATTGTAGTTACGAACTAGCTCGGATTGTTCGAACGAACGGCTGATTCTAGCTCCGAATGCATGTCATTGCAACCCATCTAGGCAAGCAATTATGAGAATATCTTAAAATGACGCTCACGTCAGGTCGCTTCTGGTACGCTTGAAGCTTCGAAGAGTTTTTCGCCATTTTCCATAAAATTTCTCGGCGATTACAAACAGAATCAGTGTTCACAACCTAAAAAACCTAATGCTTGGATACTGAAAATCCTTTTAGTAGCTCCGATTTCATCTTTAGAAATTTAAACTTTTATACCTAAGTTTTTTCATTGCGAAATAATAGACAGAATAAATATATCATTACTGTCAAGAATCTGCTAAATTTACATAGTCAGTGTCGTCATCAACTGTGTGAATAGGTATCGGAACCAATCCGACTGGCCATCCATCGTCTTGCGGGTAGTCGATGTTGGACACAGCAGCACCGTGATTTTGCCCGTACATACCAAGCATGTTTGACATGGCCGACATTATTGTTCGATTTACGTCTGTTGACCGAACATATATCTGAAAAGTCAAACAAAATTGTGTATCAGCGTTGATCACTTATAGAGCGTTCATAGTTGGCGATCGTACGTGCGATTAGGCGATTAGGCAATCATGCGATCATCATTGTAACCCATCTAGGCAAGCAATCATGAGAATATCTCAAAATGACGCTCACGTCAGGTCTATAATGAAAAATATACGTATAGATTGAGCGAGTAGGCGAGTAGGCGAGTAGGCGATTAGGCGAGTAGGCGATTAGGCGATTAGGCGGTGAAGACTACATACGTATTGATTGTTTGCTCCGCCCTTAGAGCGTTGTAGGCGAGTAGGCGATTAGGCGAGTAGGCGATTAGGCGATTAGGCGATCGCTCAATGGGCGGAGCAACAAATCAATACGTATCCTTCTTCATCGCCTACTCGCCTAATCGCCTACTCGCCTATCGCCTAATCGCACGTACGATCGCCAACTATGAACGCTCCATTACCCAACCAGTTTCTTAACCATTCGAGCTCATTCCCAGTGGTACTT